TGGCCGACTGCATCCTGGGATGCAGAAGATAGAACTTTGCCAGCAAGGTCAAGGGAGGTGATCCTTCCCCTCTATTCAGCACTAACTGGATTGCTGGGTCCACTGCTGGGCTTCTCAGTACAAGAGAGATATGGACATACTGGAGCAAGTCCAGAGAAGGGCCACTAAGATAATTAAGGGCTTGGAATATCTGTCACACAAGGAAAGGCTGAGAGAACTGGGTTTGTTCGGCCTGGAGAAGACAAGGCTCAGGGCAGATCTTATCAGTATGTACAAATACCTGACAACAGTGTGTAAAGAAGATGGAACCAGAGTCTTCTCAGTGGTATCCAGGGAAAGGATGAGAGGCAGTGAGTACAGACTGAAATACAGGAAATTCCATTAAAACTTGAGAAAAAACTTTTTTACAGTGAGTGTTGTTAAACACTGGTACAGATTGCTCAGAGAGATTGTGGAGTCTCCAAATCTGGAGGCATTAAAAACCCAACTGGACCCAGCCCAAAGCAGCCTGTTCTATGTGACCCTGATCTGAGCAGGGAGATTGAACTAGACGGTTTCCAGAGGTCCTGTTCAACCTCAACTACTCTGTGATCCTTAGAACAAGATAACTATGGCCTCCAGCAAGAACAGAATTCTGTGAGATGGAAAATTTTAATTCAAGATAAATGAGATCTAAAGTCTAAAAATGGAAGGCATGGAAATTCAAACCAGAAGTGTTTTATGAAAATAAATATATATAGTGTCATTGGCCTCTAATAGGAGATTAAACTCTAGAGCCAGAGAGGCAATTTCTAACCCTGTGTTTATGCAATGCATGTTTTCGACAGTCAAGGTTAAACCACTTGATATAGCCACCTTTTATCATCCCTGATATACATGTTAGCAGTTATTTTTCTTTCAGAATTTGGGGGGGGTCAAGTCCCCTGTGCACAAGAAGGCAGTTGTCCTTCCACTAGAAAAGCTTTAGTGGAAGTCCTTTATATAGAAGTTAAAACAGGAGGAACTGGAGACCCGTGTCCAGTCCAAGAGTTATGATATCATAATCACAGAAACTTGGTGGGAAAACTCATATGACTGGAAGACCACAATGGGTGGCTACAAACTCTTTCAGAAAGACAGGAAGGGAAGAGGAGGAGGTAGAGTTGCACTTTATATAAAAAAGAGTCTATAGTGCCCCTGGGAAGGGCCCAAAAGAGGACCCAGAAAAGTACAAGCACATTAGTCTTACTTCAGTTCCTGTGGAAGTAATGAAATGAGTCCTCCTAGAAACTATTACTTACTAAATGAAGGAGGTCACTGGGAAAAGCCCACATGGATTTACCTGAGGCAAATCACATCAGACTAACCTGATCACCTTCTACAACAAAACAACATTTTCTGCAAAGTAGGGAGAGCAGTGGATGCTGTTTACCTGGACTTCAGCAAAATGTTTGATACTGTTTCCCCCAGCCTTCTTCTGGACAAACTGTCAAGGTGCAGGTTGGATAGGTGGGCTGCAAGGCAGGTAGGAAATTGGCTAACAGGTTGCACTCAGAGGTTGTTGACTGATGGGTTTTATTTAGGCTGGCACACCTGTCACAAGTGTGGTCCTCCAAGGATTGATACTGGGCCTCACGCTGTTCAACATCTTCATAAATTATCTGGATGACAGGATTGAAAGCATCCTCACCAAGTTTGCTTGATGACACCAAACTGAGGGGTGAGGTGAACCTATCAGAAGTGAGAGCCATCTTACAGAGAGACCTGGGCAGACAGGACACCACCCTTTGGGCCTGGCCATCCAGCCAGTTTTTTACCCAGCAAAGAGTATGCCTGTCTAAGCCCTGAGCCACCAGCTTCTCAAGCAGAATGCTGTGGGAAACAGTGTCAAAGGTTTTACTAAGGTCCAGGTATACAACATGCACAGTCTTTCCCTCATCTACCAGCGGTTCACCTGGTCATAGAAGGAGATCAGGTCAGTCAAGCAGGACCTGCCTTTCATGAACCCATGCTGACTGGGCCTGATCTTCTGGTTGTCTGGGACATGCTGCTGTGTGACGGCGATGATCTGCTCCATGACCTTCCCCAGCACTGAGGTCAGACTGACAGGCCTATATATCCCCGGATCCTCCCTTTGGCCCTTCTTGCAAATGGGCATTACATTTGCCAACCTCCAGTCAAGTGGAACTTCCCCAGTCATCCAGGACTGCTGATAGACGATGGAAAGGAGCTTGGTGAGCACCTCCACCAGTTGCCTCAGTACCCTTGAGTGGATGCCATCTGATCCCATGGACTTGTGCAAGTCTAATTGGCCGAGCAGGTCACTAACCATTTCCTCTTGGATCATGGGAGCTTTGTTCTGGTCTCCATCCCTGTCTTCTGGCTCAGGCAGCTGGGTACCTGGAGAACAGCTGACCTTACTGTTAAAGACTGAGGCAAAGAAGGCATTAAGTACCTCAACCCTATCCTCATCCTTTGCCACTATGGTTCCCCCTGCATCCAATAAAGGATGGAGATTCTCCTTGGCTCTCCTTTTGTTGTTAATATGTTTATAGAAACATTTTTTATTATCTTTCACAGAATTGGCCAATTTAAGTTCTAGTTCAGCTTTAGCCCTTCTGATTTTCTCTCTGCATCACCACTCATCATCTTTGTAGTCCTCCTGAGATGCCTGCCCCTTCTTCCAAAGCTCATAGACTTTCCTCTTTTTTCTGAGATCCAGCCAAAGCTCTCTGTTCAGCCAGATTGGTTTTCTTCCCCACTGGCTCATCTTTTGGCACATGGGGATGCTCTTGTGCCTCCAGGATTTTCTTCTTGAAGACCCTCCAGCCTCCTTGGGCTCCTTTGTCCTTTAGGACTCCTCCCAAGGGACTTTGTCAACCAGCCTTCTGCACAGTCCAAAGTCTGCCCTCCAGAAGTCCACGGTGGCAGTTCTGCTGCCCCCCCTCCTTACTTCTCCAAGAATCCAGAATTCTATCATTTCATGACCGCTGTGCCCCAGGCCTCCTCCAGCAGTCACATTGCCCACAGGGCTGCCTTCTCTGTTCACAAACAACAGGTCCAGCGGGACACCTTCCCTAGTTGGTTCACTCACAAGTTGTGTCAGAAATAATAAACTATAGGAAAAATGTATGAAGTGTCATGACAGAATCTCCATTCACAGAAATGTTATTACGGGATAGGATGTTCATCTGAATCATTCACTTGGGTTTAAGGATGGCTCTTACACTTGAAGGATTGCTGATTCAAGAGGTCTCAGTGTGTATTAGCCAGCGGGATGAATGACATGAGTATAATAGGATCTAGTCTTTACCTTAGGATCCATGGTTCACTGGTCACCTGAATGCAACTTCATTAGTGATGGTTACAATGATTATGTTAGTAACACTTGCTTTCTCATACAACAATTAGAGGTTCCCAATGTAATTAATTAAATTGTCATATCTGTCAACAACTATAATAAGACAAGTCTCATTTGGTGCCTTTCCAGTGTAAACAATATAAAAATCCCACAACCTTAGAACAGTTTTTGTTGTACAAGACCTCTGAAGCTCATTCAGTCTAACACCATGTTCAAAGCATCCCCAACTGGAAAGTTAGATTAGATCGCTCAGCACCTTGTCCAGTTTTGAATATCTCCAAGGATGCAAAATCCACCACCTCCCTACTCTGCTTCAGTGCTTAACAAGCCTCAATGTAAAAATTATTTTTCTTTATATCTAATTAGGATTGCATTCTGCGGCCCTTATCTCATGTCCTTGTTGTAAAAGAGTCCATCCCTGCCTTTCTCCTTGCTGACATAGTGGCCCTTTGCTAGGCTTACTCCAGTTTGTTAATGTCTTTCTTGTACTCGGAACTCCAAAACTGGACGCAGTAGTCCAGAGTTCAGAAGTGCTGAAAAAGTGGGTATAATCACTGTTCTCCATACGCTCACTATGTAGTGCCTAATGCGGTGCAGTACCTGGTTAGCCCTCACTGTTGCAAAGGTACACTGTTTATTCATCTCCAACTTGTCCAACAACAATTCTTAAGTGCTTTTTGTTGGAGCTGCTCCCTAGACAATTGGTGTCTCCCAACTGTTTACTTTCAGATCATTTCTGTCAAGCCACTTCTCCAGCTTTTTGAGATTCCTCTGAACAGCAGCCTTGTTATCCAGGATATTGACTGCTCCCTGCAATTTGGCGTCAACCACAGCCTTGCTGACAGTGTGTTCCTTTCCACATAATTACAAACCAACAAATCACACCACTACCATTTTGTCTGGTAGAGCCAATGCACTGGTTTCTCAGGTAATGAAAAGCAAAAGATTGTTTTGAAGGCACACTTCACAAATGACTAGGGTAGGAACCAAGTGACTATGAGGAAGGAAGACCTGAATTTAAATAGAAAAATAGCAACTTTTTAGATAAAAGCAGATAATAAGAGCTGCTCTGATCAGTAATTACTTGAGACTAAATGTGGACAGAAACTGTTGATATGTACACAAATGCCCTTCTGATCTGGCAGTATTTCCATCCATTCTCATCTTACTCCATGTCAAATCATACTATTATATGTGTTTTAACGCTAGTGCACACAATAATCTTTTAATCTTTATCCAATACTAGCTAGAAGTATCAATTACAGAAATATCCTTGTCTCTTTCTTTGACTTTTATACTGTAGGACTGATGCAAAGAAGCCATAGCATGAACAGGAACTTGGGCCAAGACTTTTTTTACCCCCATGAAAAAATCAATAGGCAAGAATACATCTTGGTTACCACAATGTCAGTCTGGAGACGTGTCAGCAGCCAGCTGAGTTTATTTTCATTGCTGGAGATTAAGATCAAGTCTCGCTACAACTGGATGCGTCAATCATTAGCAGAGAGCCTTTGTACCTGGCATTCACATTGACTGCAAATTTCACATATAAGGAGCAATATGAGCAAAACTCATTTCAGAGTATTTCGTCTCTTCCAATACAAGACGTAAGAGGAAATAAAAATGGAACACAGGCAAACAACCTCCTTCTTAGAAGAACATGCACTTGACAAATGAGCTAGTCTATCTGGTCACTGAATTTGATAATACCTGTGACGCTGAGTCACCTTGTCCTATCAGGAAACAGAAGAGCTATAAATTACCCCTTGGTGAAGAACGTTGGTCACTTCCACAACCAGCTGAAGAAGGACGGAAGAAACTTCTGATCTTCCTGGAAACAAAAGGTAGCTTTTAGATTAATTTTTTCTTGTTCAAAGTATTGCAATTTTTTTATGTGTTAAAATGCAACCTATTGTCAGAAGACTTCTTGAACAATTTAGGACAGTCACAGAAAGAGGCTTTTATTCAGTGAAAAATAAGGATTACATAAGCTATGCTGTAGCATGAGCTGCAAAAAAAGGGAGAGAAAATTGATGAACAATCAAAACCAGATGAAAAGCCCTATGCAAGAAAACAGTATCTTGGCAGATTATACGTACATAGAGGAAGAGACAGACTGAACATATTGAAATGGATATATATTCAGTTCAGTATATTCTATTGCTGTATGTAGCTATCACCACTTGTTTTCAGAGTGGGGAAATTACCTTCTTGTGCAATTTGCCACTCTTGTGCAAGGTGGCTGCTAAGTAGGACAATAATGTTGTACAGGTAAAATCACAGCTAAGGCTATTCCATCCCAGGTGTTTTTCAAGGATAATAAAAACTAATGGGAATGTTCTTTTGTAATAGATATTCAATTGTATGAATAATTTAGGATACGCTTTTTATTTTTTTAGGAGGAGGGCTAGGAAAAACATATTCACACAAGTTAAACTCATATGAACTAGGGATGCTAAAGCACCATCTTTCAGTGGCAGATCCCTGTACACAGATGGAGTTGCAGAAAAGTCAGTAAGACTTGGCACATATCCTGATTTATGTTTGATTGAGGGGGAACAGGGGAGGGGGACAGAGAGACTGATTTTAGGACCAGTGCCTAGAAATTAATGCAGAGCAATTAAATTTACATCTCATAAACTGTAAGCATTTGGTTGAAATCAGTGGGATTGCCAAAAGTATGTTAATATCTTGGAGCAGGAAACCCACTGGGTCTTAAAAAACATTCCAATGGCATTCTGAAACTTGTATCGTGTATTAAATTACCAATTATATATAATTGTAAGTTAATTCATAGAAAATATTACAGTCAATGAGTACTTTGCTCATGTCTTTAAGTTAGCTTCTTCAGTTTGGTTTGCAAAATAGAAAGCTTCACAATTTCACTGAAAAGCTTTTTTTTCCTTTGAAACAGAGATTTTGTTTTTACATGTTTTAGGTGCAAAAAGTGTTGTTTTCTATTTGCATATCATCACATTTTGCACTCAGAAGACATATTTTTGCTTGTAACTTGAGGACAGCTAAAAATAACCTCCACCTCTGTTTACTTTCTAGTTAGAAATTAAGTGAAAATAATAATTTTTCATGTTATTGGGAGTATTATCTTTTATTGCTCAAGACCTAGGTCATATACACTGCAAAGTTTTGTAATGGCTCTGAGAAACAAGTAGTAGAAAATTTAATAAGAGAAAACTTCTGTGATCCCAAAGCACTTCAAAGAGGCATAGGTGATGTCAAAATTAAACATAAGTGGCATAAGGCAATACCAAGAACAGGAAATCAATGCGTTATATTATTAATTACCAGTATATTTTTCCCCCGGATCAACTAGATCTTTCCTCAGCTACAAGTCCTTGGAATAAGCCACCCTATTTTGAAGGCTTTGAGAGTTTAATTGTACAGATGTAGCCAGTCTGTCCATTTTTTTGGCCTCTGAGCTACAGCTGCCCATAGTCACAGTCCACTTCAACGGGCATTACTCTTTAGCAGAGCTGGAGCAGCATCCCTGCCTACAGGCTGGGGAGCGTGGGTCACCTCCAGTGCAATGTAAGCAAGCTGGCAAGGAAAAGGGGCCTGGCTGTATCATTTGGAAAAGGGTAGTTTTTCTTACCCACATGTTCTCCATGAGCTGGAGCACCTTGTGTTTTATATAAACTGGTTGCCTTGAGGTAAAAGGGTTTTGCTGAACATGGAAAGATCAGCAAATCCTATTGGCCTTTCCCCAAGAATAAATTAAAACGAAAACCAGCAGCCCCTCAAAAACAAATAAGAAGTTAAGCTAATAATGTAACTCTGTGGCAACATGCCCATAAATTCCCTTGGAGTGGGAGGCTGGGAAAAATGCCAAAATAAGTAAATTCCACTCTAGTCACCTGCTTGCCTGCCCAAGGTACCTAAGCAGAAAAAAAGCTGAATGTAACTCCTATTACTGATTGCAATCAGACACCAGAAGTTTGAAGTGACCATTTACCTCCTGGATCACTGCAGTGGGATGGTATGGTGCTTTGAGCCTCCTAAGCAAGTAGAGTCTTGGAGTCCAGAGCCTAGTGGTTGCTTCTTCAGCTAGAAAGAAGGCTCTCGGTTTTGCTGCCATTTCACACTACCTGTAATATAAGCAAGAGCTGTCTTTAAAAAAAACCAAAAAAACAAAAAAAGCTTTCTGAAACAAGTCTTCCCCAGGAAGCCAGTATTGGTCCATTTCTGGTCCACGCAGTTCTGTCCCAGCTTACATGCAAGGCTTCACAGTGCTGGTCATTAAGTAAGGCATTTAAATCTAGACTTGGACACCTAAGCGTAGAGGTCTCACAGGGGCTGAGTGTCTAACACCCCTTTCAACCAATACAGACCATTCAAAGCAGGCGATAGGGAGTAGGGAATGTTTCGGACTCACGCAGATACAGAAACAAGCTAAAAGCAGCGTCCCACTTCAGCCGTTCCTCAGCGTGGCAATGAGCAGAAGGCTTCCTACAGGAAGGGAAGCACAAATGTCCTCCTGTACTGAGAATTCGGGTGACGGTATTCAGCCAGGATTACAGCAGGAAGTAAGAGACATACAAAGCAGTTGATTCATAAACATTTGGAAATGCGGGGTGGAGGGGAGGAAGAATTTTTTTTTTTTTTTGCTTCTAAAATGGGAGGAGGTGAGAAGAAGGAGAGAAAGAAAACATTACCTGGCTACTTGAGAAGAAGCCAGGAAATACACAGAAGAAAGATGAATTATGTATTCAGAGAAATGAAATCTCTGTAAAAAATAAATTAAATCCTCATTCTCCCCTTTTCAGAGATGATTTTGCCATTGGTGTTCCTGTGTCTGGCAGCTGTGCTCCCTCTGTCCACTGGACAGGTAGGATCCACACTTTGTACTCAGAAAATCTGGACTGGACCTGAGGCACTCGTGCTCTGACTGAATATGGTTTTTCCCTATGCACATGGATCATATGCAGAAAGAGTCTGATTAGATATCTAGGGTCTGGAAAGCATTTATCTTTGAAGTCTTTCATTTCAAAGCAGCAGACTGACTCCACACTTGCACACTAAACCATCCATAGGCTCACTGTTACTTATGAGTTGTGTCAGAGAGAACTGTATTTTCCAGAAGCTCCCATGCACAGATCCAGTAATCTGGATCTCCCACAAATCCAGCCCTCTTCTCGTTAATTCCCCACACTTTTACAGGCAGCAGTTACCTAACTCCCTCCCCTTCTTGCCCTACAGATCCTGAGCTATATGCCTCTCTCTTTGCTCACAGTCCCATCCTCTCAATGCGTATCATGGATTGCCCTCAACCAGCTAAATGAACTAACATACTCAACACACACTTAGAGTGGTTCCTCCCAACCCATAGTTAGTCTGAAGTTTGAAGTTTGCTACTTCAAAAACGTTAATGTGACATAACGCCTGACTACATTGCCCCCTAATTCTTCAATTTCTGCTCTCCATGCTGCAGCCTAGAAGACTAGTTAGAATGGTTATAAAGAGGAGACTGAGTTCTTCACATGGCTAATTTTTAATTAGAAAACACATGAAAAATTTAAGAAGTGCTATCACTTAGGGCAGGAGTGGAAGAAAATCTATAGCATGAAAAACGTAGCCACATTTTTTTGTTCAGTGGGATGTCCTGAGGAAGTACCTCAAGAGGTCTGTGATGATCCTGTGATTAAACAACAGGTTCCTTCAATAAAAAAGCATTGACAGGCATGTTTAATACTGAAGAAGGGGAACACATCATAAGCACATTCATGTCTTCAGCTGATTTTTAGATCCTGTTTCCTCAAAACCTCGTGAAGGAAATTATAGTAACAGTACATTAAATCTGATTCATTTGCCTAAATTTAAGAGTTTACAGGCACATGAGAAGTTTCGGGATACCTCAGCCATCCCCAGAGGGTTGGCAGGTATGACGCAGGAACCAGTGTTATTACTGTTAAGCCCTATACTGTGGAACCACTTAAAGTGCTACTCTGTATGGAAGCACCCCTAGATACACTTAGGAGACAAAGTGTATGTACCTCCTCCATCACAAGGATCATCTCCTGGGTTGATATTAGTATTTTGGTATGTTAATATTTCCTAGACAGGATTCAGGATTTAGTTACATTCAAATAAAAAAAAATATAACACTTTCTTTCAATTTAGGTACCTGAAGGTTTCAATGCTCTGTCAACCAGCAAAGCAGACCAGCAGAATCTGATTGTTGACAAGCATAATACCCTCCGGAGAGGAGTAAGCCCAACTGCCAGCAATATGATGAAGATGGTAAGTTGCCTGCTGTAAATCTATTTTCAATGAGTAGTTGACCCTCTGAGAGATATAGAACTGTATGCAAGTCACATTATTTTATTTAGCCACAAATTCACCCTCCAGATCTTTTCTAAGGATTGAGCATGGCCAACACCAAGAGAAACATAAAACTGGGCAGGGGGAAATATAAGTCTGGAAAATTTTGTGGTCTGTGAACAATAATGTCTCTTTCTTTTGGATGAAAAAGAAAATAAAAAGGAGGAGCCATGGCATTGTTACTTCTTTCTGATGCATTCTTCATCAATCTTCACAGTTTCTATTCTTCCGGGTACATAGTAACTTTGTTCCTACTCCCCTACCCCCAAAAAAGGAAAAGAACAGGCTTTTGTATATGATTTTTTAATGATCTGAAGTGTAATTTACAAATGATGTTCCTTCACGAGGAGTTATTCATTGGTATGTGTCTGAATGAATAATATTTTCTTCTTTTATTTCAGAAATGGTCTCCTCCAGCTGCAACAAATGCTCAAAACTGGGCCAATCAATGTACTTTAAATCACAGTCCTCCTGAAAAGAGGAAAACCTGTAAGTGAAGCATGAGTGCTAACCGAATAATGTCATACATGTTATTGATGTGACTGGTTTGGTTTTTGTTTAGGTTTTTTTTTGAGATGCCATTTATATTCAATGTGATTTTGTTGGTGCATGGGACAAAGGCAAAATTCTAGATATAAATCTGTCCAGTAAGTGAGAAAAATTCAATCCCATTCTCATCTCAACCGCATGTTTTACACAGGTATATCCCATTTTATTCAGTAAGTGGAAAAAGATCATAGTGAGAAAACATATTCTCTCAAAATATCCACAAGAAAGAAGAGAATCTAGACCCAGTTTACTGCAGGAACAAACTTCAACGTGCTGGATAAAACCGTCTGGGAAGGAAGGGGCAAAGCATGAAGGTCCAAAACCAGCTGGTGGTGCTAAGCATAATTTTAAAGACAAGATTCACAGCTTTTAAATCCCCTGGCAGCTTGTAACCCATAGCTATCTTGGAGGCTCATATAAACAATTCAGTCATTGCATACTGAAGTTACAGCTATACTCTGCTAACATTAGCCATGACCAGTGCCCATTGTCATGTTGACTGACTGCTGTCTACACCGTATATAAGATGTGGACTGTTCTTCAGTCCCCACACTTTCTGCCTAAAACCCAAATCCTCTGGCTCTTGCTAAGGCAAATTCCAGATGAGAACTAATATGTATGCAGTAGGGTTGGACGTGAATAAAAACAGTAGGTGAAGACAGTGTAGACTCCTTCTTGTGTACCAGAAGTAAGCTTTGAATTACTGAGATTTTCCCCAGATTACTGAGTCGTGAGCTGATTAATGACTAGGTTGCTAACTTTCAAATAGCAAAATTACAGTATTGAATCTGTGGTGCACATGTGCAGGTGTATCTGCAGATACGCAGAAGGTCTGTCAACAACTTCCAGGCAAACAGGCTGGCCATGCTGCAAACTGGTCAAATGACAACTTCAATATTGACAAAGGGTGATGTCACTGAACTGGAGAAAGAAACCACCCCGCTGTCCTGTCTGGATGCGAACTTCCATGGAATTCATACCACTTTTTATTATCTTTTTCTCACATGTGTGTCTTTTAAGCATTTGTCAGTACCTTTCTCTTTTCAGCGGTAAATTGTGGTGAAAATCTCTTCATGTCATCCGGCCCTTTCCCATGGTCAAACGTTATTCAGGCCTGGTACGATGAGGTGAAAAATTTTGAATACGGAACTGGAGCAAAACCACAAGGTGCTGTGACTGGCCATTACACTCAGGTAGATGCAACTTCTTTATATTTCAAACCAAATAAATAAATATCTGTATGTTAGCTGAGCAACTTTTACCCTCTTATCTTTAAAGGGGATAAGTTCAATGGAGACATGAGGTTATTGTGACAGAACAAGATGAAAACTTGCAAAGTAACAGAATTAAAATGAAAATTATAGGCTAAATGTCTTTATGGAGTAAAGAGTAAAGATACTGGTATTTCAAAACTTCAGGAAGAAACAAAGGAAAGAAACTTATTTGTTTAACATCTGAAAATTGCTCAGACACTAGAATAGGGTAATTAAAGTATCAGGAAGGAAATATAAATAGGCTTGTTACAGTTTACAGAGTTCCATTGACTCAGAGAGTTTCCAGTTGGACAATGCCTTACGATAACCTCCTCTGTGCACCTGCACGCAATACAGGATGCAAAATTTTGCATCATGATTCCTACGTCTTCTTCGACAGTTTTAATAGAATGAAAACATATATAGTCAAGACATTTTAAGTCGAATGTTTCATATATGTGTGATAAATTATTATCATTATACCTTAAATGTTCTTTGGTTCAGGGGTGAAAGCAGGGAAAAACATGTTTTTCCAGCAAGGTGGAACTTATATTTTATTATAAAGGGTAAATAAAACAACTTAACTTGGTTGCAAATGTTTCTGTAATGCATACTGTACTTAAATGATTCTCAAATGTATATTTTTCATTCTCCCATAATTTTTATTCTTTTACCTACAGGTGGTTTGGCACAATTCTGATCAAATTGGATGTGCTGTCGCTTACTGTCCCAACAGTAAATACCAGTACTTTTATGTCTGCCACTACTGCCCTGCGTATGTATTGATTCTGATTCTGGAACTTCTTATTACATTATCAAAACTAGTCAGGAGAAATTTGTAATAGGACACATGACCCATAGCTGGGGAACAGGTTTGAGGAGTGTATTAGGAATATGAAAAGACAGAAAAATACTCATCAAAAGAATTACCAAACAAGCAAAAGCAAAAAACACATAAAAGTGACACTGATTTTCAGATTAAATATCAGTTGCCTAAAATTCCTACTTTTCATAATATTAAATCACAAATATTTTCTACATTCTACTTGAAATCTTAGTTCAGAAAGGCATATCAATACAAACAGTACAGTGAAGACTGTAATTAATACCAAAAACTTTAATGGGAATTTTAAGACAGAGTGATGATTTCATAAACTGCCTAAAATTAATTTTCACATTCACGTTGTAATATATTGAGGTGGGTTGACCTTGGCTGACTGCCAATAGCCCACTAAGTCGCTCTATCACTCCGCCTCCTCAAGAGGACAGGGGGAGAAAAAAATATGACAAAAAGTTCATGGGTCAAGATAACAACAGAGAGATCACTCACCAGTTACCATCAGAGGCAAATCAGACTCAACCTGGGGAAATTCATTTTATTGCCAGTCAAACAGAGTAGGATAATGAGAAACAAAAACTAAACCTAAAGCCACCTTCTGCCCACCCATCCCTTCTTCCTAAGCTCAGCTTAACTCATGATTTCTCTACCTCCTCCCCCCTCAGGAACACAGGGGGATGGGGAATGGGGTTGGGGACAGTTCATCACACGCTGTCTCTGCCGCTCCTTCCTCCTTATGTTCTTCTCATGCTCTAGCATGGGCTTCCACCCACAGCAGACAGTCCTTAACAAACTTCTCCAGCGTGGGTCCTTCCCACGGGCTGCAGTTCTTCACCAACTGCTGCAGCATGGGTCCATCCCTCCCACGGGGTGCAGTCCCTCAGGAGCAGACGGCTCCAGCGTGGGTCCCCGTGGGGTCACCAGCCCGGCCAGTCCCTGGGCTGCAGGGGCACAGCCTGCCCCACCATGGGCTGCCCCAGGGACTGAGGGGAATCTCTGCTCCGGCACCTGGAGCTCCTCCTGCCCCCCTGCTGCACTGGCCTGGGGGCTGCAGGGCTGCTCCTCTCACGTGTTCTCACTCCTCTTTCTGGCTGCTGTTTGACACAGTTTGTTTTCCCCCCCCCCACCTTTCTTAAATATTTTATCACAGAGGCGCTACCATGCTACCATGCTTCTTCTCACAGAACCTGCCCCTGCAAATTCCACCCACACCCCACTACCAAAACCTTTCCAGAGAAACCCAACACATACATAATTTTTTGACATATAACCAAAGACTGAATGTAAATTAATATATGTATGCATCCGTATGACTAAGTTTTATTCTCAGATATGTTATAGTGACTTTATATCTTATGTTGATAATGTTGATGTTTCAGGGGGAATATCATAAATTCACTTAAGACACCCTACAAAAAAGGAAAACCCTGTGGTGATTGCCCTAATGCTTGTGAGAACGGATTATGCAGTAAGTTTTAGGCATTTTAATTGTGACTCAGGTAAAGTCAATGCTTAAAAAAAACTCCATTAATTTATGCAAATGAAAAGTTGTTGACATTATTTATTCAAATACCAGGCCAAAAGCAATATTACAGAACCACACTTCAGCATGCTAGGTGCTTTACCTATATGGGACAACTTGTGGAGTGAAATCAGAGAAGAAGGCTGTGATAAGGGTGGGAAAATGTTAGACAGCAGTCAGTATACATTGGGATGCAGATAACCTCCACTTCATGGATCAAGATATTCATACAGCTTAGATACCTTCATTAAAGATGAAGTGTGGGTCTCCATATGGAAACTCTCGTGAGTACTTCCTAGTGTAAAAAGATGCATTGACTGCAGTGAGGTCAAAGATATGTTTATACCAATGGTAGCACAGAATTCTCAGCTCCAGATTTCCAGCTGCACTTTATATGCTTCTCCATACCAAGGAGAGGCAAATCTTATACTCAAATCTAGGAAATGCCAGGGAAGGAAGTGACTTCTTTATCATTTTTCTTCTTCCTCCTTCAAACATTGACGGCTGATCAGGTAGCAGTAACGATACACTTGATAAAAGCAAGTAGCAAATCTGAGTTTTAAAAATTCCAACAGAAAATAAAAACATATGGGCTGAGTCTCATAATGCAAGACTTAACTCCAAGTCTAACTTCTGTTACATAATTAACTTAATTCTCATCATGAGCTGCAATATAAAGGAAGGAAGCTTCAAAACACCTTGCAATTTCAATGAGGAACCTCCCTGACAGAGCTAAGAATTTTGTATGTGTGGTCACAGGTTTTGGATGCTGCTGTAGAGTAAATGGCAACAAAGAGCTAACAGAGAAAAGAAATATTGATGAAAAATTATTTCAAGAGGAAATGTTCTCTTTTCCCATTTATGATTTATTTTGTGTTTCAATTCATTTTCAGCCAAGCTTTGAAAGCTTGAAGATGTTTAAACCTACTGCCTTGGTGAAGTCTCCTGGATGAACCCATTGCTTCATCAAATTCCCTGCCCTGCTTCCTGCCAATGCAAAACTGAAATGAAATGACAGGCTCAGCTTTTCCCCTCCTGGACATCCATTTCCTTAGTGACTTCTTTCACAAAACCAGATTCCACCCTGCCTCTCCCACATATGCACATGGACTAACTTCAGTCCAGTGACACTCACACAAGAAAAAGCTGTAAGAGGATGTGTATATTCTATTTGTATAATGGCCTAGAACATAGCGGAGATCTTAAATTAAATTTGGCATTTGGTTATCATCTATATTTAACAAGTTAGCTACTCACATCTTTCTTTCCCAGAATGTTATCTAAAGAGCATTGTACAAAGTTCTGTGGTTCCAATGTTTCATGTGTTCTTAGTGTAGGTGGATAGTCCTTGGTCATTGGACTAGTATTAATTTGACCAACTTTTTGAACTATTCTATTGTTAACAGGACCAGAAAATAAACAAAATTACCTGAAATATGTAGTTCTCAAAAGGAATTAGGAGAGCAGCGCGGTTTCCACTAGAACTATTCTGGTTTAGAATAGGTATCTTTTGCTGGCATGCATTTTCCTGTAACACACTCAGCTGTATTTACACTTAAAAAGGAAAAAAAAAATGTGTTTCAATTAAATTTGTGATCCTGCTTCTAATGTAAGATTGCACTTAGCATAAATACATTTAACCAAACCTGCCCTCTAATGGAAAAGGACTACCTGAGAAAAGGGCTTAATTCACAAAAATAAATAGGTAGCCAAGGGGAAATGTCCCTGCATTTGGAAACTTTGCTTTAAATAACAAGTAAGGGTGTCTTCCAAAGCTATTTTTTTAATATCACCTTTCGCTGTATCAATCATTAAATTACTCATTCTTCATTGACCAATTCACTGTAATTTTTCTTCTTTCTTATTACCATGAAATACAGTTCACTTCCACCAACTTTGTGGCTTTATCACCATTAGGTTTGAAGGGAGCCTGATTCTTTAGCAGCATAAGCAGAAATAATTCATGTGAGAACTGAAGATTTCCTAGGCAAAACCAGAAGTCAGGCAAACAACTTCCCTTCAGACCCTTTTTCAGAGAAGGTGACCATTAGCATAAATAACACGCAATACTCACTTCTGTGACCTTTGGGAAGCAAGTGCTCTTCTGTGCAGTAAACAGAGGGACTAAATATTGTTTTAGTCTCACCTTACAATGGTTTCACATTCCAACCCTCCTTTAGTAAGGAAGCTGCTGTCATAATTAAGATTGCAAGTCCCAGAGCCTTTTGCACAGAATAATTTTAACACACACTTCTGACTCATTCATTTCAGTGGCAATTTCAACACTGGTGTGGTTTAACCCCAGCCGGCAACTCAGCTCCACACAGCCACTTGCTCACTCCCCCCACAGCGGGATGGGGGAGAGAATTGGAAGAGTGAGAAAACTCAGGGGTTGAGATAAAGACAGTTTAAGAGGGAAAGCAAAAGTGTGTGTGCAGGCAAAGAAAAACAAGCAATTCATTCCCTACTTCCCAGGGGCAGGCGGGTGCTCAGCCATCCCCAGGACAGCAGGGCTCCATCATGCGTAACGGTGACTTGGGAAGACAAACGCCATCACTCCCAACGTCCCTCCCTTCCTTCTTCTTCCCCCAGCTCTATAAGCCAAGCATGACATCATATGGTGTGGGATATCCCTGTGGTCGGTTGGGGTCAGCTGTCCCAGCTGTGCCCCCTCCCAGCTTCTTGTGCCCCCCCAGCCTCCTCGCTGGTGGGGCGGGGGGAGGAACAGAAAAGGCCCTGACTCTGTGTCAGCCCTGCTCAGCAGAAACAAAAACTATCAACACTGTTTCCAGCAGAAATCCAAAACATAGTCCAGTACGAGCTACTGTGAAGAAAATCAACTCTATCCCAGACAAAACCAGCACAACCACACGTTTCTGACTCATTCATTTTGGTGGCATTTCTTCTTCTTTGAAAGGTTGAAAGCCTGGTTTCACAATTCTTCCTTATTGTTCGTGTTGTTTTTTTCTCATCCATCTCCACCTCTTTTTTGCTCCATGATGTGCTGCCCTCTCATTTGACTACGTCTCTAGTAGTAAATTAAGCAATGCCAGGACATAGATGTGAGCACAGGAGCATGACTTACTGCGCTCTTAAATAATTAGCATAGGTCCAAGTAAGAATGTTTATAATGCAATAGCTAATCCATTGTTGTTACCATTAAGGACATTGGTAGACCTGTTACCCCCACTCCTAAAAAAGTCCATTTACTATGAGTAATGGGTCTAGAAATCTATTCCCTTCTGTCGTAACCCACACCACAAGAACTGATTTCTCAGTCACTCACAAGAGGAAAGGGGTAGTGTAATGAGGTAAAAATCAGCCATCTCATCCATGAGGATCTAGGGATCTAAAGGTCAATAAGCCTAATTTAGATATCCAGGAACATAATGGAGCAAATTATTTACCAGTCATTTTGTAATCAGTAGAGTATAAAATAACAGCATGGATTCATCATGAGCTGACCTTGCCAAACCAAACTTTCTTCAGTGAGTAACTCAGACGAGTGGATGTTGTTTTGGCTTTCATAACATGTTTGACAAAGCCAGAAAAGACATTTGCAAACTAGGGAGGTGTGGTTGAGATGAAAATAATAAGACACGGCACATACATGTTGCTGAGCACACACATCCCTGATGCTCCTGCGCAGGGGGCAGAGGGAGGCCTCTGGCAATGCAGCTTGGTGTCTGCACAGACAGACAGCACCCACATGCAGATTTAATCGCACAATTCTCATGTGTGATGCCCGTGACCTTCCCCAGCCACAGGTCACACTCAACGGTTGAAGACAGCTTTTGCCAATGATAAGGAAAACCTTCAATGAACGCTTTTCTTAGTTAAAGAAGGGCCAGATCCATGTTCTCATTTGCCACAAGCACATTTAGGGCATTTTGGGGGGACAAAACCAAGTTTTGAGTTCCCAGATTACTTCCAACAAACATTGAGCGCTGATTCAGTTCTAAGAAAGGTGCTAGAATTTTAATCCTTTATAGTTTAGTATAAAATTAATAGCTGGTGCTTAGGAGATATAAGATCTGGAGCGGTAATAAAAGTGGATAGAAAATGATGGCATAAAGAACCCTTGGAGCAGGAAACCCAAGATCATAGAATCATAGAATCACAGAATGTTTTGGGTTGGAAGGGACCCCTAGAGGTCACCCAGTCCAACACCCCTGCAGGAGCAGGGACACCACTAACTAGATCAGGTTGCTCACAGCCCCATCCATCCTGACCTTGAATGTTTCCAGGGATGGGGCCTCCACTACCTCTCTGGGCAACCCCTGCCAGGGTTTCACCACCCTCATTGTAAAGAATTTCTTCCTTATATCCAGTCTAAACCTACCCTGGTTTAGTTTAAAACCATTACCCCTTGTCTTGTCACTGCTGGCCCTACTAAAAAGATTTTCCCCGTC